TGGTGGATATACTCATGGTCAACTTATTAATGTTCAAGTTTCAGTTAGTAATGAAACTTTCTATCCGTTAGATCATTTCGTTATATATATTCTAAGAGTGAGTAACCTTTAGTTTAGTAAACTTCAAGCACGGCAAACTGATTGTTTTACATTATTTCATAGCAAACGACATATCATCATAAGTCGAAGTGCAGTGAAAATCAAAGAACTAAACTCAATATTGTACAAAAGCGGACTATGGCCAATTGGAAATGTGAACGGAATGAACATACAAGTTTTCCAGCTGAAAGTATCAAAGTGCCAGCAATGATCGCACCAACAGATACTGAGACGAGCAAAATCATTAAAATCCAATACTTGATTTCGGTAAGTACCACATCCTTTCCGAATCTCATTCGTAAAAATATTCTCTTGATTCATTTTGTAGATAAGAGCCATGTCCAATACCCGTTATGGTTGTGTCGGTATGGTTGATTTACCGATAACGATAGGAACTATACCGTTTGGAGGTAGCACATCAACCATGATCGTCTCCCCTCAGACAAGAACCGTTTCTAGTGCTCCCTCTATTGCTATAGCACATGATATTTCGCCATCGGAATCTTTGGCTTCAGCATTTCAAGACGATGACACAGTATCGATTCGAACTTATACCAGCACACCACCTCCATTCCCCGACGATGGTTAGTGCAGCTTTTTATACACATTCTGATCAATCATCATAGATCATTGCATAAATATTATTTATACATGTTTCCAGCAGATTTTGATCTCCCAACCTACGAAGATGCTTTACTAATGGATGAAGAAATCGACGTCATTCTGTAGAGTATTGAAGACTCATTTGCCCAACTGCATGTCAAATCAACGAAAAAATAACAGGAGAAAATCTAAAGATTTCACCAACTGTGTTCGATTTATTCTATTGGTGGCTTAACATTTCAAACGTTTCGTCGTGCGATTAGATTTAAGTAAGAAAATCGAAGAGACTTCTCTAGTAACCAATATGATACCTCATCTATTAAAAAACATTTACTGTATTTTATGGCGTAAGAGATGAATAAATGTAAAGTATTGAAAAACGGTTGAAATGGTTTTCATTGATCATTCATTTTTATTAAAACCAAAATGTTCTGACCCTAGGGGATAAGAACACAAGCGCTTGAGACGAATCCGTACGAATATTTGTGAATTCGTGTGATTGTGTATACGAGACATTCGCAGCGCAGTGAGTGTACAACAACAATAACAAAGCCACGAACGCATGAATATATGCGAATCTATGTGAATCTCACAACTTGTTCCTAGCCCCTAGTTCTGACCAAATGTTAAACGCAGAATGTTTACAATCGCTTTATCACAATTTCGATTTGTGACGCAAATGATAAAATCCGTACGCATGGTAGAAAGCTTTTCCAGTGTGTTTTCCTATCGCAAATTAAATCATATGAGCACGCAGCACCGCATACACGTTGCCCCTTAAATTCGTTTCCGTGTTCAGGCCTAGTTTAGATTTAGATGGTATGGAACTCAGGCGTGTTGCCACTTTCTTCTTTTATTAAAAATCGAATTTCAATTATTTATTCATTTTTTTTATTTTTCAAAACCATGTAGAAATGTGGTTTGAGTTCAAATTCATTGAGAGTGTACTGCAATAGACGAGCAACAGAGTTTATTTGGATCTGTGGAAAAGCGATAATTGCTGCGTGAAAACAATAAGAACAGAATACATCTTATTCAAATCTTTGATTCAAAGTAGTAATAGTTCGAGAATTAGTGTGGAAGAAGAAGAAGTTGACATTTGCAATATGCCAACCACTTGTAAAATTAATTTTGAGAACAATCCACAAAAGATCTTTTTCTCTGGTCAGAAGCTTCACATCACAGTGCGATTGAAATTGACAGAAGAAGTGAAAGTTCGTGGTGTTTACATTCACTTGCGTGGAATGACGCACGCGTGTTTTACCATGGATGATTTTCGCCAAGCCGGACACTATGGGACCAATGAGGATGTTTTAGATATGAGAAAGTGCTTAGTAGATGAAAATGGTAATGGTGATTCACATGATATTTAATGTGCTTTTGATACATCATATGTCTATTAGTGAGACGTAAAAGAACGCAAGTTGGTCCAACTTCGTAGAAATAAAGAGAAGTATGTTTCATTGCAACTAATAATGGTTAAAAGAATGTATGTTCGTTTTTAGCGGGTCCTCGCGGTTTTTCACGGTTTCCGGAAACCGTGAAAAACCGCGGAGGCTAGACGGGATGCCAACATACTTCCTTTTAACTCAGAATCAACAGAAAACATACTTTCCTTTTCAAAAATATAAATCGACAAAAAAACATACATTCTTTTATGTCTCACGAATAGATATAGAATATGTTATTATAACCCTTTTCATTGACAGGTGAAAATCAAGTATTGCCGGTGGGA